TTTATTCTTTTACTGATTTCAGTATTCGCACTCACGAACGCACATATCATTTACTTCTTTGTAGTAAACACAAACCACACACCCCACCCCCGGCTGATCTCACTTCCCTTTCATCCGGTCGTGGAGGGCAGGAACCTGTAATTAGGCCATCAACGCTATTTCGGTGACAGTTCTTCGGTGCAAAGAATTATAGCTTGATCGCAAATATTTCTAAATTCATTTTAATGAATAAAGCGCAAAAATCTTCCCTTTTCATCGTGCAATAATGCATGGGGTTTCGTAATGAATAATAGATTTGCGCACCCGACGTTTGAGAGTAGGTAGAAGAAACCGAAGCATAACTCATTCGTTCGGCATATTGAGTTGGTGTGACCTGTATTAACATCTGATTAGGAAGACTAGGGTTTAAAGCTTGAATTGATTCGCTTAGTAAACACATTCGTCTCACTTATTTACCGCTGGCATGTCCGGAAAATTCCGACAATCGTGTGATTCGTAGTTGATACCTGCGTGCGCCATTCACAGATTGTAAAGTAAGACTAACGATGAAATTCGAGTCTTATAGTCACTTCATTCATTCAGATAATTTGGGCATAGGGGACCCTCTGTTGATGAAAACTAGCTCTCACATGCTTAAGCGAGATATTATTTCCTCAGTGTATCAGATTTTGTTGCGTCCGTAAGTACGAATAAATAATCAGGAAAAACGCATAAAAGACATTTCTGAACTGGGATGCTTGCATTGCGGAAGCCTGCAAAAGAAATTTCATGTCACCATTCATTTGCGTACGTTAAGTCGCATTTCATTTAATGTTGAATTCTTAGGGTAATTGAACAATTGTTAACATAGTAATGATTATAACATTTGCTAAAATGAACGTTAAATTCGTGTTTGTGATCCATCTTCGTATGAGCTCGCTTTCTCTTCACACTCATAATTACACACACATACACACTCATTCACGCAAACAGGCACTGTTAAGTCAAATCTTCAATTATAGAATTTGTTGTGCATAATTGCAGGTTATCTCTTTTACCCGCAATGTTGCTGTGATGAGTAAACATACACGCAATCATTTCACACACTCTCCCACGCAGTTCAACAGAACACTGTTAAGTCAAATCTTCATTTATAGGATTTGTTGTGTCATGGTCCAAGGCAATTCTTTTGCCTTGTTGACGTTGCTGATCGTGATTAGTGGAAATGATGCACAATACATATTTTATTTCTTCTCTATGAAATGACAATCGGTTCAAGTTATCCTTGCGGATGCCGATGTCATTTCCCTTATCTTATCTGAGATGGTTAGTAGCTCAAGCAAGTTCATGAGAACTGCTACTCTCCTCTCCCTCATTTATTTTTCTTCCTGAAAGATACAAAAGTAAAAAAAAAAAAACGAAAATAAATGAAATAACCACATTAAAAACTGCAAATTAGTATAAAAATAACGGCTTACAGCACTTAAATAACATCCCCTCCTCTCTGTTGTTTTTCTTTTTCTCTAACTATCTTGGCCCTTACGTGTATGAACTGGTTCATGTATGTGATGGATGTGTATATCCGACGCGGCATCAAAGGAAATCTAACTGCAGCACGATCGCCCTGCAATGCCGTGAGACGAACATCGCCAGAAGATCGCCGTAGGCCAAAGGACGAGGACTCGCGAAATTGCAGGTATTAGGCCGCCCAGATCAAGTGGACGGGCGCCGCCTGTCAGTACTCCCGTAGATCCAGTGAAGAACCAGGAACTTGTCAGAGCAGGCCCCATGATGCTATGAAAAGCCGCCTGCCTGGACGCCCGTAGATCGGTTAAACTCCAGGAGCTCCCCAGGCAGGAGTAAGACGCCCTCAGACGAAAGGACGCCCCTGCCCAGGACGCCGTAGACCCAGACGCGCAGGCTACGAGGACGTCGGTACGAGCCGCAGCCGAAAAGGACCTGGACGAACCTGCGAGGACGTGTGGACGATGACGCCGCCGAGTACCACCTGGATAAGGACTACGAGGACGACTGGACGAACCAAAGTCAAGGAGGACCTAGACGAAACCGAGGATGTGTGGATGATGATGACGGATGGATGCACCAAGGATCCAGATGAAGAGGCCGACAACGAGGAGATGCTAGAGGACGACCGAGAACAGGCACGCGACGTGACGACCAACATATGGGGTACGATGATAGGTCACCCTTGAAGTGATTTAGATGACGCCACGAGGACGAGGCTGAGGTGGTGGCCGAGCGGTATAAAGGGTGCAATACATGCAATACCTACTTCCCACGTGTGGTCCTCCACATGTGATGTGGGGCCTGCCCACGCTATCGCCCAAACCACGCTCTCCTAAATATAGAGGCCACGCCGTCCACCAAGGGGTATATAAGGTCATCCAAGCTGACCTTCCCTCTTACTCACTCACTCAGCTCACACCTTCAACGAGCCGGCCCCTTGGCGGGCTGGTCGCTAGTGACCTGACCTCCCGCACCGCCAGTTATCCTATTTCTTGTGTCGCTATAAACAGTGCTTGTAACTCTTAGCAATAAAGAGAACAGCCACACCGTGTATCCCTGAGCCACCTTGTACATCAAACACAAACTAAAATAAGAGCTATTAGTAACTTATAGTGTGTGTGTGTGTTTGTGTGTGTGTGTTTGAGTGTGTGTGTGCACTGACACATAGCCACATACATACACACACATTTTGTATATATATATATATGTATATATATATATATATATATATATATATATATATATATGTGTGTGTGTGTGTGTGTGTGTGTGTGTGTGTGTGTGTGTGTGTGTGTGTGTGTATGCAAATGTATATCACATAAAAAAAATATATATATATATATATATATATATAATATATATATATATATATATATATATATTATCAAGGGGACTGACGCCGACGGGGGCGCATAGGTTCCACCTGTGAGGATCCCTCATGGCTAGACGCCAGGCAGGGACTCGGCCCATCTCAAGTTCTTCACGACT